ACGATAAGCATGTTTTATAGATCCGTTAAGACACTTAAACACGTTTCATAAACCCGCTCAGACGATAAGCATGTTTTATAGATCCGTTAAGACACCTGAATACACTTCATAAACCCGCTAAAACACCTGAACACGATTTATAAACCCGTTAGGACACCTGGATGCGTTTCATAAACTCACTAAGACACCTAAGCATGTTTTATAGACCCGCTAAGACCCCTGAACACGTTTATTAAACCAGCTAGGACACTTGAACAGTTTCATAGCCTGCTAAAGCACCTAAACGTGTTTCATAAACCCTTTACGACACTTAAATACGTTTTATAAACCCACTAGAACACGTCTGATAAAACTATTAGGACACCTAAGCTAAACACGTCATGATGTCTGGGATCCTGAACGAATGAAACCTAAAGACACTTAGTATACGTGTTCAACAGCAACAACAAGTTAACACAGCTCAACACAAGAGAACCGGGATGAGGTGATAACAAAGGATGGCCACGTCACAATCTGGTAGTCTATAAAACGACCTCTTTTATACTAAAAAATATATTAACACTTTTATTTTCCGACAGCTAAACCTGTCTGTAGCCTAAAGTTCGGTAAAATAATATCGTGGGTCAAGGAAATTCAAAATGTAAACCATAAACCACGCGCGTATTCGAATAGTGGTCTCTTTCACACAAGAAGATTCCGGAGGGGAGAAGGGGCCGATAATTTCTAACCGTTCATGGATTGAAATGTACAGGATCTGATACACAACTAATATCCTATTCAAGTCTGTTTTTAGCCATAACTTAATCACATCAATATCGTCATCAACATCAGAAAAATCTGAATCACGTGTTTTTAAAGACTCTGTAATATTATAATATTTATTTTTACAACAATATAGACAATTTCGGAAAGGTGCTTTAATGAACTATAGAATCGGACGGTTTATACTTGTTCCTTATTTATCTCACAATGAAAGGTGTTTTAATGAACTATAGAATCGGACGGTTTATACTTGTTCCTTATTTATCTAACAATGAAAGGTGTTTAATGAACTATAGAATCGGACGTTTATATTTGTTCCTTATTTATCTCACAATGAAAGGTGTTTTAATGAACTATAGAATCGGACGTTTTATACCTGTTCCTTATTTATCTCACAATGAAAGGTGCTTTAATGAACTATAGAATCGGACGGTTTATACCTTGTTCCTTATTTATCTCACAATGAAAGGTGTTTTAATGAACTAGAGAATCGGACGGTTTATACCGGTTCCTTATTTATCTAACAATGAAAGGTGTTTTAATGAACTATAGAATCGGACGGTTTGTACTTGTTCCTTATTTATCTCACAATGAAAGGTGTTTTAATGAACTATAGAATCGGACGGTTTATACTTGTTCCTCATTTATCTAACAATGAAAGGTGTTTTAATGAACTATAGAATCGGACGGTTTATACTTGTTCCTTATTTATCTAACAATGAAACATTAAAATCATGATATAAATTATTTTTGTCATGATATATAAAACCATTTAGAATTTAATACTAAATATAGTAATGTTTTATGCGAGTTTTGGCTCCTGTTACTGCAACACCAGGTTCTGTACGCTGTTATAAGCTGTTATTTGATATTAATCTGCAGTACCAGTTCTTTACATTGTTATAAGCTGTTATTTGATATTACTCTGCAGTACCAGTTCTGTACGCTGTTATAAGCTGTTATTTGATATTAATCTACAGTACCAGTTCTGTACGCTGTTATAAGCTGTTATTTGATATTAATCTGCAGTACCAGTTCTGTACGTAGTTATAAGCCGTTATTTGATATTAATCTACAGTACCAGTTCTTTACATTGTTATAAGCTGTTATTTGATATTACTCTGCAGTACCAGTTCTGTACGCTGTTATAAGCTGTTATTTGATATTAATCTACAGTACCAGTTCTTTACATTGTTATAAGCTGTTATTTGATATTACTCTGCAGTACCAGTTCTTTACGTTGTTATAAGCCGTTATTCGATATTACTCTGCAGTACCAGTTCTGTACGTTGTTATAAGCCGTTATTTGATATTAATCTACACTACCAGTTCAGTACATTGTTATAAGCTGTTATTTGATATTAATCTACAATACCAGTTCTGTACGTTGTTATAAGCCGTTATTTGATATTAATCTACAGTACCAGTTCAGTACGTTGTTCTAAACTGTTATTTGATATTAATCTACAGTACCAGTTCTGTACGTTGTTCTAAGCTGTTATTTGATATTAATCTGCAGTACCAGTTCTGTACGTTGTTATAAGCTGTTATTTGATATTAATGTACAGTACTAGTTCTGTACGTTGTCATAAGCTGTTATTTGATATTAATCTACAGTACCAGTTCTTTACATTGTTATAAGCTGTTATTTGATATTAATCTACAGTACCAGTTCAGTACGTTGTTCTAAGCTGTTATTTGATATTAATTTACAGTACCAGTTCTGTACGTTGTTCTAAACTGTTATTTGATATTAATCTACAGTACCAGTTCTGTACGTTGTTCTAAGCTGTTATTTGATATTAATCTACAGTACCATTTCAGTACGTTGTTCTAAGCTGTTATTTGATATTAATTTACAGTACCATTTCAGTACGTTGTTCTAAGCTGTTATTTGATATTAATTTACAATACCAGTTCTGTACATTGTTATAAGCTGTTATTTGATATTAATCTACAGTACCAGTTCTGTACGTTGTTATAAGCTGTTATTTGATATTAATACGCAGTAGCGGTTCGGGCTCTTTGCTGCATGTAACGCACTGTACTTACATCAAGAAGAAAGAGTGCTGAAGCCTCAGAATGGAGCTTTTCTAACGTTTCATTTGTCGTTGTTGTAATGCGCGTCAGGTGACGTTACCATTGACAATTATAGCGTCATAATACGATATTTGTGTTCAATAAACCGTTGACCAAGATACTGAAGTATGAAACTGTCACGTGTCATAAAACAATGACTAATTACGACAATGTCATAGAATGTCATTAAATATAAGCTATTATTGGAATACGCCCGTTCAATCAGGTCGAGGTCGCTCGTGATGACTAAAGTTAAAGAAACAAACATCCTCATCAATACACCAGTGCATGGTTTATTTTCACTTTTCTGTGGACAATATATACATTCATTGCGTGTAACTGTTGAGAAATAGAGGTTAAGACTTTTGACAATGGGTTTCTGACTTATATATATATATATATATAAATAGTGGTTGCAGGATATGTAACGACCACGCGTTTACGTAAATTTACGTTATACACTTGACCGTGACCATATCTGAAGGAGGAAAATGTATCAATCTACACCTTCCATTCCCAACTCGGTGAAATCCTAACAATATATCTAGATACAGGTGTACGCTCACTAACTGCTAAGTTTTAAAACAAAAATCTATAGAACTAAATACACAAATAACGTTATTGTCTGTTTCGCGGGCATAATTTCACTGCTAACCCTTTGGTAGTGAGTTTTTTTTTTTTTAAGTCTTTCACGTTAATGTTTACATAATATTAACGTGCATGAATACCATGTATATATATATATATATAGATATTTATATATTTACAAGAAAGTTCCATACACTTACACACATACAATCTCCTGATTTGATCCCAACGCTTGGCAAGTCACGCCTGTCTATTAAGTACTATAACTTCTCATTTTCTGTCCATTCTGACTTAGATTTTCAATTGGTTTATAGAACGTATTCAAATGTGCACAGAAACGCTCACGTGGTCTTGTCGAGTTCGCTCACACTTCCTGTGACGAACATCCGGCATAGCATATCTCAGTTTTTCCCAAAAATGCTTTTCCCCCCAACGTAGAAATATATTACTCTTTAGTAACAGTCTTATATCTGGATCTAAATTTCTTTGAGGGACCTGGCCTAGAAAGATCACAATGACCTTTTGTTTGTTGGAGCGGAGTACTTCGTGGTGAGCGGACTTGAACTCGTACCTACACCATTCACTCTGGAGGAAGTGTTCGGAAATTATCACAATAGTTCGATGGCTAGTTTCCATCGCTTCGATAATGGCGTCCGACATGTAGCCACCTACCGGCAAGTCTCGGTAATGAAGGCACAACCGATATGGCGGATTTCCGTATTCCAGTTCGGGAGTAAAGAGTTGGGTAATAAATGCTTCATCCTTCTTACTGTACGACACAAACGCATCAAACAATCTCTCATCTTCGCACTCTGCGTTACGCTGGAATAGTTTTACGCCATATTTAGCGAAAAACCACACACTCATTTCTCGGCGGTAAATAAGAAGTAGTGTTACTACAAAGAGCAGCAAGACAAAGAGAGAGATAATAACTATCAACATTGGCATGAAATCCTCCATGTGGTACTTCTGTAGAAAGGTGGTGGCAACGGTGTAATTCACACAGACCGTAATATTAATCTCCAAGACTGGAACGGTAGTGGTCTCGTTGTAAACACACTGCACCAAGGAAGAGTCTTTCACCTGATTTTGTTTCTGCTGTAACCAGTCGCTAAAGTCCTGCACGAATTGACATTCACAAGTCCAAGGATTTAAAGACAGTTGGAGGTCCTGGAGGCGAGGGTTCAGATTCAAGATCCACGCCTGGAATTCTACGATATAGTTATGGTCCAGATACATAATTTCGAGTGATTTCAAAGAGACAAATGTCGTGTTGCTGATAGAAGTTATCAGGTTGTAGGAGAGATCGAGCTCAATCAAATTGGTCAGTCGCTCAAACTCGTAACCATGTAACGTATTCAGCCTGTTATTTCTCAGGTTCAACACTTGTAGGTTTCTCAGACCGTTGAACGTTCGATTATTAATCATTTTAACGTTGCTACTATTCAAGTACAAAACCTTCATATTTTTACGTCCTATAAACGTATGACTGGACAATGCTGGAACGTCATTTCCGTCGAGATATAACTCAGTAACGTCCATGGGGACCCGTTTGGGAACTCCTTTATGTCCGCGATAGCTACAGTCCACTATGTTGCTGTTCCAGCTCTGGTCATAGTAGCAGCTACAGTTTTCTGGGCACACCATTTCACAGTCACAAGCATCAAAATCGCAGCAGTGACAAAGCGCAAAGCAGTGGCTCTTGTACTGGCACAAAAACTGGGAAGGATGAACATTTGATAATTGGACCATTCCATTCCCTCGAGTGAATGACAAATGACACATTATTTCACCTATGTCCACTATTTTTGGATACTGTCGAGACTCATCCAAGGATCCAATTCTTTGTAGCCAATCCATGTTACAATCACACAGGTAAGGGTTACCCGAAATCGAAAATTCCGGTAAAGGCTTTTTATCTAAAACCACGGTTAGCCTAAACGAGTTCATCTCGAGGTTTTCGAGATTGTTTTCTACAAGGTCCACTCTAGTCAGATTAGGTTTTCCCAAGAAGGCAAATGGGCGTATTGTGTGGATCTTATTGTTACCGAGAAACACTATTTCTATTCCATTTGGGAGCGAAGACGGTGCTAATTCGGTGATTTTATTATGGGACGCGTCCAGCGTACGCAACTTTAACACAGTTTCCAGATCAAAGTAATTTCCCAGGCTTTCCACTTGGTTACTGTGCAGGTCCAACCACTGGAGGCCTACTGGGATTAGAGCATAGTCAAACCAGCCAATTTTATTAGCGGACACGTTCAACATCAGCAAGTCGTGCAGATTACTGAAGAGATCATTGATGTCCGCTAGGGAATTAGAATCCAGCCGCAGGGCATGAAGATCGGGAACGTCATCAAATGTTCCTTTTCCCACGAACTGAATTTTATTACTGGACAAGTCCAAAATTCGTAAGGAAGGTAGGTCCTGAAAGACTCCTTTACTAAGATTGCCAATGTAGTTTCCCATGAGTCGAAGGCTGTAGAGCTGATGAAGGCCTTGGTAAGATGCATTGTGGATCTTGGAGATGTGATTGTTTCCTGCCTCCAAACTTCTTAAATACTTTAGAGAATGTACTGCCGTAGGCACAGTTGACAACTTGTTACTGCCAATATTTAGCTCCATTAGGTTACTGGAGTTTTTAAAAGCATCAGCGTGAATATTTTGGAGATTGTTACTGTCCAGAGCTAATCGGTTAAGTACATGAAGTCCATTTAGGGTTAAGTAGTTGATTCGGGTTAGCCGGTTATGACTAAGAACTAACGTGTGCAAGTTGTACAATGATGAAAAAGCGTTGTCTTCGATAGTTTGAATGTCATTATGACTTAAATGAAGGACTTGTAAGCTGTACTGTGACTTAAACATAACAGCGTCGACTTCAATTAATTGGTTGTGACTGAGATCAAGAATGACAAGTCTTATCATATCAGCAAAAGTGTCGACTCCAATCCATTGGTTGCTAATAGAGTTATGGCTCAGATCCAAGATAACCATTTGCTGTAATCCACTAAATAAGCCTGGCGGAAGAATGCTTATTGAGTTGTTCTTCAGATATAACTCAGATAATTGCTCTGTGGGTTGCAGAAAACGTGGCGGGAGAGCTACAAGTTGATTATTAGAAATGTCTAAAGTGTGAAGGTACCGTAAACCTCTAAGAGCATCCTCTTCTGCACGACCTATTTGGTTGAATTGGAGATTGAGAAAATGAAGCCCGGGAAGTCCATTGAACCCGCTGTCGGACAGCACTTTGATGTGGTTGTGAGAAACCTCCAGATGTTTTACTTCCCTTTTGCACCTCCCTAGATCAGAAAACCCCAGACTACTTAACTCGTTAAAGTTGTTGTATGTAATATTTAGACGCTCCAAACTTGATAATCCACAGAAAACAACTTCAGGTAGAGAATCCATGTGATTTAGACTCAAATCGAGATTTTCGAGATTATGTAAAGGAGAGAAACTGTCGGAAGAAACCTTCAGGGGAAACTTCCCCCAGTGACTGTTGTGTGTCCGCACAGTGAGGTTAACGAGTTGAGAAAGGCCAGCGAACGCTAGGGAAGGGATTTCGTGAAGTTTACAGTGTTCAACAGAAAATGACTTTAATTCTGTCAGATGCTTAAATGAGTTATTGGCCAGCGAACTTTCGAAAAGCACGTCTTCACACCTAACGGTAAGACTTGTCGTGTGTTCCGGTTGGATCAAACTAAAGTTTGTTTTATCAAAGGCTCCGTTGAGGGTTCGCAGGGAGCACGCAAGAGCCACATCGTCTCCAGTCGGGCCTAAAGGTTGCCAGCGGCAGTCTTCGGGGGCCACATATCGGGTAGACACGGCGGTCGGAACGAGAAACAGCCACAGATACCATAGCGTAGCTTCGAGTCGGCCTCCCATGGTTAGGTGTGGTAAATAAGAGCCTCACGTCATAGACAGTACACAGAAGTTATCTGCCAGGATAGCTTGAATTCATAACTGTCCAGCTGAACTCCATATGTCCAGGGGTCAATAACTGTTCCCGAATAATTTGTTTAACTGAAATTCATCTGCACGCGGGCACAACGATCTCCGTCCAGTAGGAACGATTCGTATCATTAATACTGAAATTTCCGTCAAGTAGTTGATAAAAAAACAACAACAAACAACTAACCCTAATCACATTACTGCATGTTACAGTTTTTAACACTTACAACGCGCTCACTTTACAACAACGAACAGAAGTCCACTGTGATTGACTCGGTCTCAACTCTCATCCACTCTGAGGCAAACTCGACGGTAGTCGGGGCACGCAGGGTAGTGCGGGGAGTCAGGTTCTACCACTTTCTTCGGGGGGGTGGCTGCTGCACGTCTGAAGAGGAAACTGGTTGGTGCGGGAGATAAAATTAATGTTCCCAAGGCTTTGTGCTGACATCCCAATCGGTGGGCTCCACCCCGGCGGCGGTGTTCCTCTCAGTCGAGGCTGCGCTGGAGGGAAGAAAAGAAAACCTTGTTTACGATGCGTCTTAGGAACTGAATCTTACATTTATGGTTTGGCTATTGGTATGAGAAATCTGGCTACCAGGATGATTTAGCGTTCTCGTGTAAAATCCTAAAGCACACCAAAATGGAATCTCCATACCTAGATGCTACAAAGTCATTAAATACGTGAGTTCATAATAAACTGTTACAATAAATGAACTAGTTTTCTGATTGCATTTTCAAAGTTAGTAGTTATGGGTAGAGTTCGTAAGAATAAGTGCCACAAGTTTCAGATCCCGTGCCCCTGAGGAATCCACTATTTTACGTGATCGGTAGGGGGAATGTTGTTCTTCAAAAATAATGATACCTGCGATCTTCAATAAAACATAATCCCGTTCCCCATGGATTTTAATCATCATGATCGCTTGATGTGTCTACTTTCACTAATATTTACTTCCAGTGTTTCGGAATAATATTCCACAGTACGGGGTAAAAATATGCAATATTTCGGAATAATATTTCCCAACAGAGTTAAAATATACAATGTTTCAGAGTAATATTCCATAGTACGGGGTAAAATATACAATGTTTCGGAATAATATTCCACAGTACGGGGTAAAATATACAATGTTTCGGAATAACATTCCATAGTACGGGGTAAAAATATGCAATATTTCGGAATAATATTTCACAACATAGTTAAAATATACAATGTTTCGGAATAATATTCCATAGTACGGGGTAAAAGATATAATGTTTCAGAATAATATTCCAGAGTACGGGGTAAAATATATATTGTTTCGAAATAATATTCCAGAGTACGGGGTAAAATATATATTTTTTCGGAATATTATTCCAGAGTACGGGGTAAAATATATAGTATTTTCTAATATCTCATTTACTCTGTAACGATGGACAACACAGACTCCACGTATATTTTTCCCTTCTTCAAATGACAAAAAAAATAAAAAAAAATAACGATTATTGCTACCGGTTTGTGCCTCGGGTAACAAGTTTCAGCTGCACACAATAAATATATGCACATCTAAACACAATAAGTATGTGAACATCTATAAAAAAAAAAGTGTTGTTAAAATTCGGTTATATATAGAGAGTGCTTTTGTATATTAATTCTAGTGTTGTGACACAAAATGTAGCATTTCTAGTGTTGTGACACAAAATGTAGCATTTCTAGTGTTGTGACACAAAATGTAGCATTTCTAGTGTTGTGACACAAAATGTAGCATTTCTAGTGTTGTGACACAAAATGTAGCATTTCTTGCACAATTAAACTGTAGGTAAACATTAAAACACGAAATTAATCACGATAGTAAATAAGCAGTATGTAAAATAGATATCCGTTTATTCCGGGAACTCAACGTGACGTCACAATTGAGAGAATGTTCATTTTATCCATTTATTTTAAAAAACGTTAATATTTAACGTAATATTAAAGCCACGAAGTGCTACGTGAATGTTGTTAGTGAGCTTATTTCAAGAGAATAATAAAACAACAACACGGTAAAACGAATTCACCAAACATTTCGTGTTGAAATCTTCCAAATGTGCTCATGAAACGCAAACTATCGATTCGACTGCGACTGCTCACATCAGTCACGATACATGGCGTCACAAATGTATCGCTAACTAGTTATCTTAGCTGATGGGGGATGAACGCAATCAAACAATGCTTGTGTTGATAACTCCATAGACTTCGTTGATAATATTAAAAAAAATCTGAGTTTACTCAGAGAATCTGGAGATATTGACAAAATCCCTTATCTTCACGGACAATTAGGCATAATCTCTTTCATACTTCAATAGAATATGCTCTTTAACGAGATGCGTTTATATATATAAAGTCAGGAAACTGCCTCAGATCAAGGGATCTGTTAAGGAACACCTCAAACTGCCTCAGATCAGAGGGATTTATTAATGAACACCTCAAACTGCCTCAGATCAGTTGATCTATTAATGAACACCTCAAACTGCCTCAGATCAGGAGATCTGTTAATGAACACCTCAAACTGCCTCAGATCAGGGGATCTATTAATGAACACCCCCACCTCCGTTTGAGCAATAAGGCTTGCAGTTTCTTCAGAGTATCCTGATTATCTTCATCAAATAATTACAACAGAGCTAATTCTTTCTATTCTTCAACATTAACTAATATCAACCATTCGTTGATAAAAGAGTAGCCCAAGAGTTGGCGGTGGGTGGTG